GATGTTTGCAGCATTATGCCATTTAGGAAATTTTCCAAATACACAGACTTTAGTCTGCCTTTCAAGCCTTAAATCAGGGACTTTAAATTCCTCCCATTTCTTTTGCACTGGTCATTACTGTTAGTGCAGCTTTTGTAGCTCTTGCTGATTTTCATAGGATTGGTCTATTGTTGATATCAGTGCAGATTGAATTTATTTTAAAATCTTATTTACATTCTGGGGATAACAGAAATATGCCATATGATACATTCTGTCTATCTGCTAAAGTATTAAAAAAAATAGAAAGAGAAAACTTTATCTGCCCTACTGTGTTTGCTATGTTAGTATAGTATGTTGCTTATGGTTCTGTTATTCTGCAAATAATTGAAGAGGTAGCTTATATTCTGAATAATCAGGATTCCAGCCAGGTCTAACTTTAACGGATAGAAAAGAGCAGATGAGGGTTGAAATATGCCCATTCTAGGTTTCTGAAGACAGAAATAAAGATGAAGGCTCTCAAGTACTTAATGCCATCAAATGGAACTCTATAAACCATCCCATAGTGCTGACATATTGAAAGGAGTGTTTGCTTTGTGTAAGCAAATCTTCCTCTCATTTTAGGCTTCTAGACCTTTTCCCTTAAAGTTTACATTTTAAAGATTGTGTGATACCTGCTGGTGGGGGTCACAGCTGTCTGAGATCTCCATGCCAATTTCTTCTCATTACATAGCTTACTCCAGCATTTATCAGTGCAGGTGAGACTTGGAGGATTTTCTCTGAGGGAGTTTGCATGCTGAAAATGAGATCTATAGCTTTTTTCTTGAGTTTATTCCCTACCTCCTTTAAGTAGCATATTAGGGACTTGCATATTTTACACAATCGAACAACAGCATGTATTTTATAGGCTGTCAATAAAACAAAAAACATGAACAACCTTTAATGTTAATCAAATCTTCTTTTATCACAAGAAATACAAGCAAGTTTTTGAATTACTTTATGAGTAAAAAACCCAACTCTGCCATTATGTGCATATGTTAAATTGTTCTTTCACTAATGCCATGATCACCTCTGCAGGGACTGGAAATCCAGGTGTTTAGTTGTACTTCCAGCATGTGGCACATTTAGAATCCTCTAAGGTCTGTTATGAATTACAGCACAGGGTGCACAGTCTTCACAAGGATGTTTCTTGAATGCCATGTGAGGAGGAGACCCAGGAGGAGCAGATGGACCTGCTAGCCTGTGGGATGGGAGATGGTCTTAGTCTTTGTGGACCACATCTTCTTCCTTTGAATCCCCTTCCCAGTGGAAGGTAGATGGGACTTAGCAGTGAGTTGAATAAACTGAGTAATAGCTAAGGGAACTTTTGTTTTTTTGCTGGAAGACCATTCAGAACTGCATTGGGCAGTTAACTCTTGGTAGCTTGGTGTGGTGGGTTCACCCAAGGCAACAGTGAAGCACCCACCAGCTGCTCACTCACTCCACCCTCCACAGTGGAATGGGAGAGAGAACGGGAAGAGCAATAGTGAGTAAAAACTCACAGGAGAAGATAAAGACAGTTTAATATGTAAAGGGAAAAAATGAAGAGAAAGAAGCGAATCACAAACCCCATCACCAAGAGATGCAAAGGCAATCCCTCACCACCTCTGACCAGCAGACCAATGGCCAGCCAGTCCCTTGGACAGTCTACCCCCAGTTTTACTGGTGAGGGCATTGCTGTGGGATATGGAAGGTCCCTTGGGTCAGCTGGGGTCAGCTGTCCCAGCCGTGTCCCCTCCAGCTGGTGGGGCAGGACGCATGAGAACAGAGAAGGACTTGGTGGTGTGCAAGCGCTGCTCAGCGATGGCTGAACCATCGGTGTGTTATCGACACACCTAAAACTCATCACTGTACAGGCTGCTGTGGAGAAGACCTCCCTCCCAGTATGGCTGGGATCACAGGAGTCAGACTGGTCTATAAATACATTAATGGAATTGAAGTATAACATTTGATTCCATTCGTGCGTCTGTCTGTTCTCTCTTGCATGGCTTGGTTGTTTGTGTACATCATTGCTGTACACCCTCCATGTGGTTTAGCAGCAGCAAAAGCTTTCCTCTAAACCTGCACCCCTTCTCTGAGCTGTCTGCCCAGTCAGTTCTCCTCTTGCAGTTACTTCTTCTACTGATTGATCTCGCATCTGAATAAGCAGCTCTTGAAGAGATAAGTTTGGGCTCTCTGAAGTGTGACTTCTGACACCAAGAAACATCTTGACACGACTGATATTGGTAGTAGTTGTACCACTAATTCAAGACGTTCACAGTAAATCTCCGTATTTAGAATTGTAGGGCCACTCAAGAGTTCCAGAAAAAGCACTCTGTAAATTCTGAGGTCCTAAAAGAAAGTAGATCTATATTTTTCTAAGAGGCGGGTTAAGTTCTTGAAGTATTGTTTATGTCAAATTTTCATTACCTGTGGTAACCAGCTGTGTCCCAAGAAAGCGATGTGATCATATGGTGGTGTTACCCATGGTCATTATGGCTTCTGCTAATGTGCTTTTGCTCCTCTGTTAGATTTTTCTCTGCTTCTTGTGATTAACATGTAAAGAGTTTCCCAGGCTGCTTATCAGACAGGTGACATTTTTCCGTCACAGAACGGAGCCAGATGCAAGATGTGCTCAGGCGTGCATGGGAAACAAAGCTGGAAAGAACACAGTTGTATTTTCTAGAGCAGACTTGTATTTCACACAGTTGCTTGCCTAGGAATACATTAACAGCTAATTGGTGCTAAATTACATTTTACTCCATGCACAAACCCAGATTTCTCCATTAAAGAACATAGATTTACTTCACACTTAATTATTCTCCTGGTTTTTTATGGTATCCAATAAGGTAAACCAGAACATAAGTGTGTTGTTAAGATTAAGGGTTTAAACATAAATAAAAATCAAGAATTACAGAGTTAAGGTTGAATGTTTACCCAGTCTTGACTGCAGTGATTTTTACATATAGCCTCTGAAATAGCATCTCATTACATAATAGAATATCCCTTTTCAGGTATTGTAGGTAATACAGAGTAACTTTATATCACATAAATTATTTAGTATAACGTACAGTTGACAGGGTGAAGGACTTAGTCACACAATGAAAGGGTTATTTTTTAGAGAACTGTAATCTGTGCACCATACACAGATAGGGCTAAATTTTTAAAGGGGTCTCAATATTCCATCTGATTTTGTATCCTCAGTCTATTTAATGCATGTATGATAGGATTAAGATATCTGAGTTTTTTACTTCAGTCACTAATTTATATATCTTAATCCTCTCATATCTGTCCTTTAAATAAGAGGCCATCTTTAAAAATTTCACCTAAAGTGCTCAATTTTGCCTTCAGATACCTCCATGCAACTTCCATTGAAGTAATTGGAGCTGTGCCTGCGTATCTGATGGTGGAACTGGACTCATTGAAATTAAGGTACACATTTACCGACATAATTAGTCATCTGGAAAAATTGCTGGGCCCACTGTGCCATTCTGCATGTGCAGAATTTCCCAGACTGGACCCTCTGCGTGTGGGAGATTGAAGATTACGATGATAATTTTATTTCGTTCCTTAAATTTGTACCTGTAGCAGAATTTCAATGTCATTTGCTGTATTTAATTTTATTTAATTTTCCTATTTTTAAATAAGAAATGTGGAAGGAGGGCATGAAAACAACATCTTTTTCACAGTGATGTCTTTGTATATTTTTTTACGTACCCAGCCAGGTCACAGATACTCCACCATTTCTACAGGCACATTACGGATGGTGCATGCACCATCCTGGTTTGTGCAGTAGGACGTGGTTTCAAATATCCAGCCCTGAGCCTACTCCTTTTTTTAAAAATCTCTTTGTGCTTGCAATGCACAGACAGAAAAACAGATTTGTAAAGAATCCCACAGTTAACTAACAGCGTAAACCCCACATATGAGAACTTTGGTAACTCTTAATTCATGATACAGATCTTTAAACAACATGACAGAGTACTTGTTTTCCACTAATTTAAAATTCTCTGTGTTTTGTGATTGAAAATTTATTCCATGCAGCTTTTAAATTGTTCTCTCTCTCCTGTCACTGCTCTGGGGATGGGCTGTTTACAAAAATCTTGACTTGTAAAACTAATCATCTTGGAGAGGTTCATATAAGTCCATGGTTGACCAAAACCCCAGAAGATTGAATTTGTGACCACAGAAAAAATTCCAACTAAAAGCAGTGTTTCTGGGATGTTATAACCTGTTAAAACACGATGACCATAGTGAGTGCTCCTGTGATTTAGAGCAGGTACCGATGAACATCTTCAGATATCTGGGTCTAGTTTTAGAGCTGTTAAAAAGTGCCAGTTTTCAAGGTGTTGGTTTTATTGGTATTCCTTTGCATTTTTAGTCCTATCAGACTAAAACGAATTTCTTTGAAATCAAAGTGAACAGTAGAGAGAAAAGTAGTGCTTTTAAAGGACTTAATGTAAAAAAAAAATGTATTTTTTGCTATGACTGGTTGCATGGAGAAATTATTCCTCTCAAATAATCTTTAGCTATGGTAAGCAGTTATGTTTTAAAGTATTAGTAGGCGCTAATTACTTTTAAAATAAATTTTGATACTTTTATAATGCATCAATTCTTAGAATGCTGCTGTCATATTTTCTACGTTTAAGCAAACACATGGTTAGATGATCATGGGCTTATGTCCCCTACATCCAGAACACTTAGCAGGTTTATAATTCAGCCCGTCACCTAAATTCTTTCACTCTTTTCGTATCTGTTGCACCAGCTTGATTATGTATAGGAATTAGGATGTCTGCCCATTTTCAGGTAAAGGCTCTCGCAGTGGAAGTGGTTGGTTTCCTGACATTAGCATTCCTTTGTTCTGTGTTTACACCCTGCCTGTTCTACATGTTTGTACATTTCCTTGTTTCATTGAGATGGTAATAAGTTAATATTGTTGCTAAACCATTTGTTTTTCTGGAAGGTTTTCGCTATTTTTAATTGATTTTCATTGTGTGTTTTTGCAGCAAGCTTAGTAGTGGAGGAGCGAACGAGACAGATGAAAATGAAAGTGCACCGTTATAACCAGACGTCAGGGTCTGGTTCTAGCCAAGAACATGAGCGTGAGCAATACACCAAGGTAACGTCCATAGTCTTGAAATGATACTTTGGCTTGAAAATTGAAGGCACAAACCCGTTTATTTGAAACATTATATACCCCTCAAGAGCAGTGTGTTATAAAGCCTGACAGAAATGTTTTACAGGAATAGCTTTTCAACATCCGTTATACCCCCATCCGATGTGCGTTAGACTTAGTCTTTGATGTCACCTGAAATGAATCTGTAAAGATCAGAACATTTTCAAACTAAATCAGGGAAGTAAGATCCTTCAGCAGCCATTAAGCAAAGCCATGTCACCTCCGGCCTGTGAGGTCCCTGTCCTGCAGGTCCCCACAGGCTGGAGAAATGGGCCATTGAGGTGTCGTTGTGGGGTGGCCCTTCTCTTCTGCCCGTCTCCAGGCCCTTGCTGTTCTCTGATGTGTAGAGATCTAGACAGAGTTATTTTCACTCCCAGGAGCTATTCTCGTATTTGTATAATGTTTTTGTATCCTAATAATATCACAGATAAAATATGTCCTTTCTGGAAACACATAGTAATTACTTTGATTCTCTTTTCTAATAAAAATCCCCTTTTCATTATCAGATTTCCTCTGATAACAAAGTGCACATGAAAATACATTAATGAAGTTATACAGAGAGACCATACTTTTTTTTTTTTTCTTGCTAATGCTGAAATTATTTCCCATAACCTTGTAAGTTTAAAACTGGGCAGGCTTCTGAGCAAACTGGGGGAAACCCCTCGCAGGTGTGTGCAGCCGCTCGCAGATCCCGCTGCCGAGGGCCTTCTGCCTGGTGCTGCCGGGCTGGGGGGCTTCCCGGGAGCCAGGAGGGGAGAGGGTCCGTCAGGGCCTGCGGTTCCCTCTCCGGGAGCCAGGAGGGGAGAGGGTCCGTCAGGGCCCGCGGTTCCCTCCCAGGACACGGCACCGTGTGGGTGTGGGCAGAGGTGGAGGCAAAGGTGGCATGGGAAGCCTTCCTCAGTCGCCTTCCTCCAGGCCCACTGAGATGTAGGTGCTTTGAGCGAGCCACCACGGGATGGCAGTGCGGTCTGAACGCAGAGCTCCGCGGTGAAAGAGTCAAAGACTCGTGTACCAACTGTGTGCATTAAAAATAAGTTGGGAGAAAATCACAGCTTTTATTAATTTAGAATTTTGTGCTTCAAGAGCTGCATTTCAAAGACTTTCTTTACATCAGTAAGGGCTAAACACTTGTATTTTTATTTTTATGTTTTGAGAGAGACGATCTTTCCGTTTGTGACCAGCGCCGTGCAGAAAACTATAGAAAACTATAAACATTGTCATGCCCTCAGCTATGGACATGAGAGCGCTTCTGGCCTTCTGGCTTCTGGCTTCTCATGGGGCTGACACCAATAAACATTGTCATGCCCTCAGCTATGGACACGAGAGCGCTCCTGGCCTTTATTGTCATGGGGCTGACACTGGATTTCTGTCCTTGGCCTCCAGGGTCTCTTCCCTGTGTTTAACGCGTGTTTTTAGAGGCACAGGTTCTGTAATTTTTGTAATTTCTGCCTCTCAGCTTCTCAATCTTCTAGTCTCAGTAAGCAGGCACTAGTTTTTTGAGCATGCAGTGTGCTCTGTGTGTGTAAAATATCTTTAAACATCTAAGTTTTTAACATGCATTAATGAATTTTGAATAGGTGTCTGCTCTGCAACATTTCTGTAGGTCTTATGGCTGTTCCACTCAACTAGAAGGTCTGGAGACCCTCACAGAGCTCACATTCTTATTTCCTTCAGTTCCAGTAGAAAGACTCCATAATTTATGTGAAACAGCTAAATTCTAAAAAGCTAAATGGAAAAAAAACCCCTCAAATCAACAAACCCTCTGTGGATTTGGTGAAAGGGTTTAAGGAGGAGCTTGAAACACCCATCTGCCTTTCTCTGGTATTGGTAGGGCTGTGGTGGTTGGTGTGCACAACTTGTGCTGTTTCAGTGTCTGAGAGAGTCAAAACATTTTGGTAGCATTATTCTGGATTTGCATGGATCTAAATGACAGTATATCTTAACTAGGCTCTTAATTCAAAATGCAGTAAGTTTTTATTCTGGATGCCACACAGAGAACACACACCGCGTTACAGCTGTGCTGGCTTCCTAGAGAACGTGCAACATGTTTTTTTGGAAGGTCATTCAAGAGAGTGTCCGATCAGAGCACTGTAGTACATATGTAAAAGGCCACTCTATTTAGATGCACAACCAGCTCAGTCAGCACCGTATGTGATTGGGAAGCACTTAGTATAAATGTGTAATCACAACATGAGTTCATTGGCACCCGATGGGTTTCACTTGGTAGCCGATGCCTATGAGGGAGGGCTGGAAAGGAGACTTGGGGTGATACGGGGCTGATGATGTCAAGTTTTCTGTGATGCTGGGCAAGACACTTAGGGCTATCTATAGAAAATGCTCTGGGACATGGTGTGATGAGTATCTTCTTTTGCCCCCCTCTTCATCTACCCTCAAGTAAAAAATATTTACTATCTAGTATATTGGTAGGACAGACACTCCAGCGCTGCTTGGGTTTCACAAAATTCAGTGAGTTTCATCCATTTGGCTCATGGCTTCAGTGCGGTTTTCACATGGTTTGAGGTGCTGGTTTTACTGTTCCCAGTTGGCAGTGATGGTCACCCTGGTTGAGTTGGACACAATCACGGGGGGAGTTACCTAGAGTCTCGGGTGCTTTCTGAGCTCTGCACCATCGCGTGAGCTGCTCCCAGGACACAGCCCCAGAGGGCTGTAGGAGTCAGGGACAGGGCCTGGAGGCACAGAGGTGCTGACTGCCGGTCCTTTGTGCATGGTTCAGCATCTTCTGACATAGTTCCTTGTGAGGGTAAGGTGCCTCAAAAGATAGGAATTCTCTTTCCTCATTTTAATTTCCTTATTTTAACACCCATTTAATTTTCTCCTTTAATTTCCTCATTTTAAGCACTTAATGAGGTACATATTTTCAAAGGTTACTCACCTGAGTCTTCTTTTGTAGTTAGAAGACGGGACACTCCTTCAATTTTCAAAGCTCTGAACTATAATATTCTCCATGGTTTTTGGGAGATAAATGGAAAAATACAAATAATTATTAATATGGAAGATAATAAAATTATAATGAACTGTTAAATGGCTTTTAAAGTGTGCCTTATAATCAGTAAAATTGCTAACATTGTTAGTCATTGAGGAGCTGTAGAAGTGTTGATGAATGACACTCTTGGTTTAGGTCTGTGCTCTTTCCATTGATGGTCACACGTCTGCAGTTCATCACACCCCTCTTGGCTCCTTTGCTGGTACAGAAGCAGCAGCAGCAACTACACAGGTGCTAAAGTGAATGGAAGAACTGCATTTCAGCAGTTTATGTCAGATACATACAGTGAAAAAACTTCTCTCTTTGCAATGCAGAAGCAGGCAGTACAGATACCAGGGGCATTTGAAGCAAGCTGCTATTAATGTTTGGAAAAAGGGGCCTACTCTTTAGTAATTGCTATCGAAGTTGCTGTAAACTTCAGCAATTTTCCTAATGTGATAAATAGAGCACCTCGGAACACAAATGGTACATAAGCTTTAACTCTTGTGAGTCATAGAGTTGAAAGAGAAGTGATTGTGCTGAAAATTCACTTTATTTTGAAGATCATATAATATTTAAATATAACATGCTAGAGAAATTCATTACAAATACAGGCAGTTTTCTAGATGAGCAGGACTTTATCATATTACTTTTGAGCCAAGTTGGAAACTTGCAAGGCATTACTTTCGTGCACGTACCAAATACGTGGATCTTGGCCCGTGACATTTTTCTTCTCAGGTGATCTGAATAAACACATCAGCATCGTCTCACCTTAACACCATTGGTGATTTGTGCTCAGATAAGTCTCACCAAGCCACCTGGAAAGAGAATCTCCAAAATAATCCTTGCTGTAGTTGAAAATATTTTTAAATATTGGAGGAGCTGTGAGTAACCCTAAAACACATGCTGAGACACGAAACTTGTATGATTTGTATATATATATTTCTACATTTACGGTCAGTGCTTGGTATCCTCCTCTACTCCCCTCAACTTCCCCATTACATCTATGTTTTACCGAGAGGTTCCCAAGTGTCCCATGGAGACCTCAGCCGTAGCTGTGGAAGACATGGGAGCACAAGAAGATGAACCTGGCTTGAGGGCAGGAGGTTGATACGTTCCTGGGTACAAGCCCTGGCTTGTGTTTGCCAGGTTTTTGAAGCCAAGTCATGACATTTGCTGCCCGACTCAGGCTGCAGCTGGGGCCGAGCTGAGCTGGGGATATGCACAGACCGGCTCTGCTTCCTCCATAGTTCATAAATAAACCTGTAGGATTTGCAATTTTATAGAGCACAGGTCCAGAAAATGAACTCCCCAGAGTGTCATGTCAAACACTGCCTAGTCTTCCCATGTGTTAATGGTTTTCCCATAATACCACTATTTTCCCCTCCCCAGCCCAGGGTACCTTGCTCTGCAATGATAGCGGGGTTTAGTTTTGTGACCCTGACAATGGTTTGAACCTTGTCTCTTTGTGACTGAAGATTTAGGTAATTGTGACATTGCCAGGATTGAAGCTTCCTTTTAGATGTGTCTGACTGACGATGTGAGTGATAGGAGCACTGTGAAATAGGCACTGCGGTGTCACAGCTGGTTTTAACTAATTAAAGCTGCTTCTGTGAGCAAAAGGGAAATAAATTCTGCCCTGTCCACATATTCCTCCTGCTGGGTCTCTTGCCAGTTCTCCTGTGTGCACATGTATAAAAGCAACTAGATCAGGGACCAGATCTGCCTGAAAACAAGTACTATTTGTGCTGAGTTAGCTTTCTGCCCGACTGGTCCACCAGTATCACGACACAAGGATATCACACTCACACACTGCAATATAGGAAGTTCCATCTAAACATGAGGAGGAACTTCTTTCCTGTGAGGGTGGCAGAGCCCTGGCAGAGGCTGCCCAGGGAGGTGGTGGAGTCTCCTTCTCTGGAGACATTCAAACCCCCCTGGACACGTTCCTGTGGGACCTGCTCTGGGTGGACCTGCTCTGGCAGGGGGTTGGACTAGATGATCTCCAGAGGTCCCTTCCAACCCCATAGCATTCTGTGGTTCTGTGATTAGAAAATGTGTTTTTTTCCTTTTCTGATGTAACAGGTACTGAAATCAATCCCCTGTGTCAGCTTCATGTAGCATTATATTTCCTTCAGGCTCATACTCACTTCTCCTGACCCAAACTAACTCTTTACAGGTATTTTTTAATATTTGAAAAATTGAGAAAAAGGTCTGTTGCCAAATAGATGGGTTTCTTGTGCTTGAGGAGATGTCTGTTCACTGCATAAATATTTCATTATTATAGTTCCAGTGTACTAAAGAACCAGCAGCCTATTTCAATTCCAGTGCTGCAATTTATTTCAAGTGTCTTATTTAGTCCATAAATACCATGTTGCATTTCTTCACTAGATATAAAAACTTTATTTAATATGAGGGTTTCTCTGAATTTCTTACAATTTCGTTAGATCTTAAAGCCGTTAGAGAGTATTGTCATATTCGGGTCATTTTTTTGTGTGTCAATGCATGGGTTATGTTTTGATGAGGCTCCTCACCCTTTTTTCTCTCGATCTCTAGTATAACATACAAACAGATCAGTACAGAAGTTGTGATAACGTCTCTGCCAAATCCTCCGATAGCGATGTCAGTGACGTGTCAGCCCTTTCCCGAACCAGCAGTGCCTCACGCCTCAGCAGCACAAGTTTTCTGTCCGAGCAATCTGAGCGCCCTCGGGGCAGAATCGGGTGAGTCCTCCCTGCAGCTTTCCTTCTGTCACCCCCACCTTGTGTTCAGTGCCAAAATACAGCCAGAAATCATTGACATTAGATGACACAACATCAGAATTTACAAAAAATGTTATGCACATATAAACCTTCTTCCATTGCTAGCCTAAAATGACAGTATTTTCATGGCTGTGCATCTAAAACAGACAGGAAACTTCCCATGAGGAGTTGACAGATCAATGTATTTGTGGCAAGTGGAACCTAAACACACACTGTCACTTCATTGCTGCCTATGGATCCGTGTAATCTGTATGCCAATAAGGGATTGCAGCAGAAATAGTACTAGATTTTTAATCTAAGGAGTTTTCTTTCATAAAAATTCTGTTTTTCTTTCTTTCTTTCAATCTATGTATTTATTTCCCTGCCTACCTGCTTTTATTTTGCTGTTTTCGTGCACATGATAAATTACTAGATTTGAAGCATATATTTGTACAGTAATTTCGATATCACTGGTTCAAAAGTAGTTTAATTAATTTGCATTATCAATAATCAAATATCTCTTTCATCCTTGCCAATCATCCATTCTCGGTTTAGTGCTTTTTTAGATACACAGGTTCCTGTCTTTATTTAACTTGATGTCAGGGCTGCCACTAGCCGCAATGGCTGTAGGGTTGGCTTGGTAGTCCGTGACTACATCTAGCAGTGGCTGAACTCTCAAAAATTTGACTTTAAGTGTTATAAGACATAAGAAGAATTAGGAACTATAAAAAAAATTACCCCTATGGAGGAAATCAGTCTGATGAAAGTCTGGGTAGCTTCACTTAGTGCTTCAGAACACTGCCAGACAGACTCAGGGAGGAGTTCAGCTGTTTGATCCGCTCATGCCATGGGAAGGGATCGAAGGGAAACTCAGAAACTGGCCTCGATGTAAGAACTAACTCCACTGCAGTTTTTGGTTAAGGAAAGTTCAAGGGGGTATTTAAAGTCATGTTCCAGAGTAGTGAGATTATAGCCTGACAGCTGCAGTAATCCACAGTCCACTGGAGTGGAACTGCAAATGTGTTTAAAGTTATTTCAGTTCAGGTGTTGAAATGCAGTTCATTGTGTCCTAGCTTTTCAGTATTTGTCTCTTAAAGAGAGCTTTAGTCAAACCAAAATACCTGTATTTTCTAGACATTGGATTTTCTCAACTAGGCCCTGTCACGGCATCTTTGGCAGGTTGAACAAAATAGGATTTTTTTTTTCCCCCATAAATATCTCTGTTTTGAACAGATTTTATGTGAAATGTTCCTTGGGTTCCGAATGTCTGATCACAAATATCAGAACCAGGAGAACTGGTAACCTCATGTGAGGCTGGAAAGGGGGAAGCCTGGGCTCAGATCCTTGCTCTCGTCCAGCCTCTCCCATCCCAAATTGCAGCAGAGCACCCGGTACCGGCTCAGCCAACCTCGTGTTCAGACCCAAGGCTCTGCAGTCAGAGTCCAGTTCTGCTTCTGTCCCAGCCCCTAAAGTGAGAATGAAAGCAGATCTTCCCTTTAACCAATGGCAAAATTGTGTCTAAACTTTTAAGGCAGAAGATTAATTTAATTCCTGCAGTATATTTGCAATTGAATTACCTGGCAGAGCGCTGTGACACAGCATCATGCAAAATGCCACCAGTCAATCCTCAGTCTGGAGATTTTGTTGATTAACACTTCCAGTAGCTTGCAAAAGGGAAGTATGACTGATGCAAATTCTAAATATAACTATATAAAATAGCTTCTTCATTTCTAATCTGTTTAGCATTTTCAGGTCAATGTTATAACAAATGGCTACATTTGGATAAACTAGTCTGCATATGAAATTATTCCAAACATCTTTCCGGTTACCATCCTGGGAAGCCTGGTTGGCTGCCGTGCTCTCTAATGGCAGTGCAGGCAAATAGCAGGAATTTTTGTTCTGTAAACAAAATGTTCTGGGACTTTTGACTTGAATCAGAATCAATTGTGAATTTGGCTTGTGACAGCATTTGGAGCGGGTGTGTGTTCCATAACTGAAGTCAGATTATCCATCCTTCTTCATGGAGGTTTGCTTCCACCACTCATCACCTTCCTGCACTCCTAAGGCAGGCGATGCTCTCTGCCTGGGGATGCTGCTGTCCCTGCATGTGACTCAGGAACACGCCTCACATCCTGAAGGAAGCAGAAGGAAATTTTTCAGTTTAATGCCAACGATTGATAAGTAAGAATCCATGTTAAATACATGGTGATTGATAAGCTTGGTCAGACAAAAAAGGGTATTTGCTCACTTCATTCAGGATTCTGTGCAGTGATGTCACTGCACCATTTTTCCTTAGGGGCTGCTTGTGCAAAGGAACTCCTTGGTGGTGTCAAGCAGGGAACTGTCTCGCTTGGGAAGGGGGGGCTGGAGGGGTCTGGGCTGGAGGATTTAGCAAGTTGGCTGCCGTAAGGTGTTTCTCTTAAATCTGATTGAACCAAATCTGCTAAATATATGAAAGAGTAGATACCTACTTTTAGGGTGAATTAATCTTAGTGTATCTATCTGGATTTCAAGGAAATTGCCCCTGCATTTGGAATATCTCTGTTATTTCTCATTTTAGATTTGAAAACCACATCTTTATTAAGAAATATATTTAGTACCTTAGTAAATGTGTGTGATATAATTATGCATGGGCCATATTTTAATATGGTTTTACATGCTTTGCATAATTGAATGCTTAAGTTTAATTAAAATATTTTAAATGAGCTTATCAAAGAAAGGCTAGTATAAAGGGTTCTAGCAGTGGACTTAACCAGTCCTGATTTATTTCACATATTATACCATGCCCCTGAATGGCTTGTATCACAAACTCATACATGCTTCTTGGGATTCAGGTACGCTCTCAGGACATCACTGAAGAAAAAGAACTTTTTTTGGTTCACACTGTCGGAGTCTATCTGACAAACCTTTTCATCCGCAGTTTCCAGAACATCATGTACAACTTTCCTGTAGCTGTTATTCTTTCAGTACCCTAGAGCTTTACTGCAAGTGGACTCGAGCTTTGGAACAGGAGCAATGGAGGAGGGACATGAGGACACATGATCAAGTGAGGAGGTGGTTGACGGGCTGATAAGCAAAGGGTGCATGGTGATGGAGACAGACAGGACCTCACAATCAACAAAACAGGGCAGGAAGGAGCCCTCCCCAAGGGTTTGCACATGAATAAGGACATTCTTGAGAGGAGAGCATTTGAGGGAAGCTCTCCTGCCTTTTCTGGGAGATCAGCACAAGTGGGTAGCTCTCTGAGCAGCCTGTGCTCTGATGCACGGGGAGCAAATGAGGAATTAGAGTTGTCTGGTGCAGCCACAGGGCTCTGGCCTTATCATGATCACAGAGCCAGGGTGGGACGCTCCCATGGCTGGAGCCCTGCAGTCCATGCAGGGACAGGGCAGCAGGGAAAGGAAGGGGTGATGCCCTTTATTTGAGAGAGCAGAGCATGCATGGAGCTCTGCTAACTTCCACAGAAATCCAGGGTTGTACTCTGTGTATGATCCAAAAGGCTCAAGTAGAGCAGAAAAACATAGAATTTTTTTTCTTACACACTCTTTCTGGTTTAACTTCACAGGCCCTTTGAATTTTGAGTAAGGAAGGAGTTTTGCAGAGACAGATTAGACATCCAGCCCAGAGAGTCATCGAAACAGGAACACTGAGTTAAGGGCCAAGTTAGACCTAGTTTCGAGGCAGCTTCCTCTTTATGGAAAGAAAGCAGGTTTTGGTTTGAAGCACTTTTACAGAGCTCAAACTGCAGGGATTCCCTGGTGAATGGGATCTCCAAATGTTTCAATAGTCGCTCTGTGTATCGACAGTGGACGTCACCGAGGGAGCCAACAGCACAGCGGTCTGATTCTTCCGTGGAGGAACATCATGCTGTTGGCTCTTGTCATGTTGATGTTTGTACTAGGGTGGATATTTGGGGGGAATTTGCAGGGAATTAAGCATTTCAAGAGTATCTTCTTATCAGCAACCTTATCTGTGCACGGGGAGGAGAGAATAAATGAGAAGATTAATAGCTTTTTCTCTTGCACGACAGTAAGGAGCAGCAGGGATGCCCACCAGCAGTGAGGGGAGGGAAGGACAGTGAGGTGCAGGCTACACGTGAGAAGAGCCGGGTGGTTTCAGTGAAGGCTGAAGGAGTGCTCCTCACAACTGGCGAAGTGATTTATGCTCAGGTTCATAAAGTCCATAGCCTGTGCTTTGCCACACGTGCTTTGCTGGAAAGAAAAATATCCCAGTCCATGGCAGCGCTGTGCTGAGTCAGGATGTTGGGCGCTTGTTTGTGTGTTTTATTCTGGCTGCCTGGAGCTCTGCGTTGCTTTGGGCGCTTGCACTAAATTGTCACGTGCTTTTCCATTCCCATTAGCTTCAGGAATTAGACTCCCTCAGCACTTGTATAAACAAACTAGTTAAGCATGTGGCAATAGAGACCACCTGCTTTGATTTACCAAATATGTTTTAACAATTATTTATTTGTAATTTTTAAATACAAGCTATTAAAATCGGTATCAGAACTGAGATATTATACTGCTTTGGGTTTTGTTCAGCATGCCTGAAACAGTAATGGAATTCCAGTTTGACATAGAAAAGACTGTTATAAATACCAAAAGACAAATTCTATATTTATGACACTAATTATGTTGCTGATTATTTGCCTGTGTATGAATGTTTTCTTCGTAGTCAAGGTAAACAAGATATTTAGGGGCACTAGGTAGAGACTGATTTTCTTATATAATGTAATAAGCAACTTCTATTGTGCAGTGGCTTCAGTGGTTTATAGTTCTGTGTTTAAATAATGACTGAGATTAATTAGTTGATATTGCAGTGGAGAATATCTTCTCCCCCCTAGCTAGGATGGGAGCATCCATAATGTAGCCAGTGCTACTGCCAGACTGAGGACTTTCTGTGGGTCTTGCTATTAAAAATAAACACTGAAAGGCCTCATTGGACTCATAGCCATATGTCTGCTATGTTTTTGGAAGATTTCT